CTCAAATTCATGTGGAATTAAAAAGGACCCAGAATAGCAAAAACAATCTTGAAAAAGAACAAAGTTGGAGGACTGACACCTCCAAATTTCAAGGCTTATTAAGAAGCTACAGTAATCAAAACAGTATGATAGTGAAATAAGAATAGACATAAAGACCAACAGAATAAAACAGAAAGCCAGAGGGCCGGCCCGGTGGCGCACTCGGTTGAGTGCGGTGCCTGCGAGTGCAGTGGCACTCCCGCCGAGGGTTCGGATTCCATATAGAGACCGGTCCGCTCACTGGTTGAGCGCGGTGCGGGCGCGACACCGAGGGTTGCGATCCCGTTACCGGACACATAAAAAAGACAAAAAGGAAAAAAAAAAAAAAAAACCAGAAAGCCAGAAATAAACCCTCACATCTATGATCAGTGGATTTTCAACAAATGTTCCAAGACCATTTGATGAGGAAAGAACCGTGTCTTCCAAAACTAGTGCAGGAAAAATAGGTATTCACATGCAAAAGAATAAGTTTAGACCCTTACCTTACATCACATACAAAAATTAACTCAAAATCGGGCCGGCCCGGTGGCGCACTGGATAAGTGCGCCGCTTGGGAAGCGCGGCGGCGCTCCCGCCCGAGGGTTCGGATCCCACATACAGACCGGTTCCCGCTCACTGGCTGAGCGAGGCGCGGGGGCAACGCCGAGGGTTGCGATCCCGTTGCCGGTCCCCGGTCCGGTACGGGGGCAACACTGAGGGTTGTGATCCATTGCCGGACACGGAAAAAGACAAAAAAAAAAAAAAAAAATTAACTCAAAATGGATCAAAGACCTATATTTAAAACTATAAACTCTTAGAAAAAAACATGGGAAAATCTTTAGGACATTGAATTTGGCAACAATTTCACAGATATTATACCAAAAGCACATACAACAAAAGAAAAAAACAGACAAACTGAACTTCATTGAAATCAAGAACTTTTGTGAAACAAAGGATACTATGAAGGAAGCAAAAAGACATCCTACAGAATAAGGAAAATATTTGCAAATCATGTATCTGGTAAGGGATTAATACCCAGAATATATTTTTTAAATTCCTAAAAGTCAACAGCAAAAAGAGCTATAAAAGACAGTGAGATACCACATCACAACTACTAGGATGGGTATTAAAAAAACCCAAAAAAACCCTCCAAAAAACAAAAAAACACCAAAAATAACAAGTGTTAGGAGGATATGGAGAAATTTGAACCCTCATGCACTGCTGGTGGGAATGTAATACAGGTTAGCCACTGTGGAAAAATTTTGGCGGTTTCTCAAAAAGTTAAACATAGGGTTAAACATAGAACTACTAGAGGATTCAGCAATTCTTTTTTTTTTGGGATCCGAACCCTCGGACGGGAGCGCCGCCGCGCTTCCCAAGCGGCGCACTATCCAGTGCGCCACCGGGCCGGCCCTCAGCAATTCTAATATTAGTTATATATCCAAAGAACGTGGGGCCGGTCAGTTAGCTAAGCAGTTAGAGCACAGCTTTATAACACCACGGTCACAGGTTTGGATCTTGGTACCAGCCAGCCGCAAAAAAAACCAAAAAGAAATTTTAAAAACTCCCAAACCCCCCAAAGAACTGAAAGGAGGAACTTGAACAGATATTTGTACACCAATGTTCATAGCAGCATTATTCACAATAGTCAAAAGCTGGAAACAACCCAAATGTCCCTCAACAGATAAATGGATAAACAAAATGTGGTGTACACATACAATGTAATATTACTCAGCCATAAAAAAGAATGAAATTTTGATATACACTACAACATGAACAAACCTCGAAAACACAGAGAAATAAGCCAGACACAAAAGGACAAATATTGTATGATCCCATTCATATAAGGTACCTGCTAAAGGCAAATTCATAGGGTTAAAAAGTAGAGGCTATTGGGGCCTGGGGGAAGGGTTAAGGAGGATTCACTGTTCAATAAACACAAAGTTTTTGTTGAGGATGATGAAAAAGTTTTGGGAATAGAGTGTGGTGGTAGTTATACAACATTGTGAGTGCATTTAATGCCACTGAATTGTACCCTCATGAATAGTTAAAAGGACAAAATTTTACATATATTTTACAATCAAAAAGTTTTTAATAAAAAATTTTTTCGACAAAGGCCAAAAAATGAAGGCAAAACACACACACATCACATTATCAGGTAAACGAAAGCTGAGAAATTTGCTGCCAAATGACCTGCCTGACAGGAAGTATTAGTGTGTTTTTCAGGCTGATGTGAAATGATACCAGAGAAAAGCCCAGATTCATAGGAAAAAATGAAGAATTCCAAAAATGAAAAATATGTGAGTAAATACAAATGGCCCTCTTGTTTTTTTTTTTTTCCTTCTCTGAATCTCTTCAAATGACAATGGAATGCTTAATGCAAATATTATAACATTGAATTGTGGTGTTAACACATGAAGATGTAAAACATATGGCAACAACAGGAAGTGTAAATAGAATGACATGGTTGCAAGGTTCTTTACATTTGCAATGATACATGGTACAATATGAACTCTAAGTAGACTGTGAGAAATTAAGAATGTATATTGTAATCCCTAGAGCAACTACCTTTAAAAAACAACAACAAAGAGCTATAGCTAAAAAGCCAGATGAGTTAAAATGAAAGACTAAAAACCGTTGGACCCAAAAGAAGACAATGAAAAAGCTGCAGAAGAACAAAAAAACAGATGGAGCAAATAAAAAGCAAATAGCAAAATAGTAAACATAAATACAGCCATATCAATAATTACAAGAAATATAAACATTACCCACCAATTAAAAGGCAGAGATTGTCGGGTGGATTTTTTAAAAAGCCAGACCCAACTATAAACTGTCTATAAGAGACAAACCTTAAATATGAAGACACAATAGATTGAAAGTAAAAGGACAAAAAAAGATATATCCTGCAAATAATAAGCATATGAATGCTCTTGGGGATATATCAGACAAACTGGACTTCAAAACAGGAAGATTACTAGATATAAAGAGGAATATTTCATACTGATACAGGAGTAAACTTACCATAAATGTGTAAGCATCTAATAATAACAGAATTTCAATATTCCTAAAGCAAAAGTTGACAAAATAATGAGAGAAATAGACAAATCTACAATCATAATTAGAGATTTTAAGACTCCTTTTCAGTAACTGACAGAACAATTAGCAAAAAAAATCAGTAAAGCTATAGAAGATCTGAATGACACTAACAACCACCTTGACTTAATTGATATTTACAGCATACTATACCAACACCTGCAGAATACACAGTCTTGGCTCAGTGCAAATGGAAAGTTTACCAAGGTAGGCATATGCTAGGCCATAAAATAAGTCAATAAATTCTAAGACTATAACCTTAATGAATATGTTCACTGACAACAAAATTAAATTAGAAATAAATAATGTAATGGGCCACAATAATCAACCACATTGTATATCGACAAAATAAAATTTAAAAAAAAAAGAAAGAAATAATGTAATATCTTATTTTAAAATGTTTTTCATTTATTCATTCATTCATTCATTCATTCATTTTGGCCAGCCTGTATGGGACTTGGTGTTATTACACAGCACTCTAACTATAGTGTAGTGTATTAAAAAGTGTAAAATATTTAGAAATCAAATAACACATAGGCCAAAGTAGAAATCACAAGGAAAATGAGAAAATATTTAAAACTGAATAACAATGAAAATACAGTATATCAAAATTTATGGATGCACCTAAAGCAGTGCTTAGAGGGAAATTTATAGCTTTAAATGCTTATTTTGGAAAATAAGAAAGTTTTAAAATCAATGAACAAAATTTCCACCTAAAGAAACTACAAAAAAAAAATTAAACTGAAAGAAAGCAGAAGAAAGAAAAAAAATAAAGAGCAGAAATCCATGAAATAGAAAATAAACACTAAAAAAATCCATTATCATCTTCTAGAAAGGACCCAGGCAAATTATTGTTGTACTGAGAACTCACTTGGCATTTAGTAGAATCAATATGGGCTAATGCTTCTATAAATCATTTGATGTTCAAAGTAATAGCCTGTGTTTCAAGAAAACATACATGAGAAATGCAGCTAAATATATTTTCCTAGGCCATTACTGATCCAAATATTACAAAGGATAAACTTCCCTGAAGACAGCACCTTCATCAAAATTCCCAACACCTTTCATGTACTATGTAACAACTTAGAGCAAATTAAACCAATCTGTCTAGCTAAAAAAGAATCATAGTAGTAACAGAAATAAGGAGCTCTAGGAAAAGAACTAGATTATTCTATAACTTTGGCTCTCTATCATAAATGTTAAAATAATTATTACTGATTATTAAGGTTAACGATCTACAAACTGTGTGGCTAAGACTACTAATGGTCCCACAATTTCCATTCATTCATTCATTCCTTCCTCCAAATGTTAATTGGGTACACCTGACCCAATAAAAACTAGATTTCACAGCCTCCCCTGTAGCTAGTTGTCACCTGCAGCTCCGTACAATCATGTAACTAAGTTCTAGACAATGGGACAAAAGTGAAAGCAGTGTGTGCTCCTCTAGGAAGTCGCCATAAAAACAGGGAATCTTTCTTTCTCCTTCCTATCCTTCCTTTGTGTTCACTTGAATGTGGTTGTGATAGCTGATATCACAGTAAGCCGACTTCCACAGATAGCAAAGCATCAAGACAGAAAAAGCCTATAAATCCTAATAACTGTGGAGTTGCCATAACGCCCCTTGTACTGCCTATATATACAAGAAAAATAAATTCTATCTAGAACCTTTGTTATTTTTTTGTCACTTGCAACCAGTTAATACTAACTGATACAAATTATATTCTTAACCAATGAAAAAGTGACTCATAAATGGGAGGGGAATTTATATCAGTCTCAAAAAGGATGTTTAAAATATTAAGACAGCTAGAGATCATCAAGTGAATTATAGGAAATCCGATGTAACTACAACATTGCCTACTTATTAGCCCAAAAAACAAAAATATACTAACCTGGGATGTTCTGGTATATTCTTCATATAGCCTATCATACTCTTTACTCTTTTCCTGATACTGAGAGTGGTACTCCTGCAAGTTTTTACCTACTGCATCAATGTTATCTTCTTTTACCAACTGATCCTATACAGGTAAACAAAAGAAGTAAAGAATGTTACAATTCTGATGTGTGAATTTTTCCACATCTGTTTTTTTTTTCCAAAATACTTTAATATTTACTTGTACATACTTATGGGGTATAGTATGTTGTTTCAATACACGCGTGTACTGCACAATGATTCACTTAGGGTAGATAGCATAGTTTCGTACCTATTAGTCCACCACTTCCTCCCCACCACCCCCAACAGGCCTCTGGTAACCATTATTTTACCTCTCTACTTCTATGAGAACCATTTTATGTTTTTTTTTTTTTTTAAAGATGACCGGTAAGGGGATCTTAACCCTTGACTTGGTGTTGTCAGCACCACACTCAGCCAGTGAGCAAACCGGCCATCCCTATATGGGATCCGAACCCGGGGCCTTGGTGTTATCAGCACTGCACTCTCCCGAGTGAGCCACAGGCCGGCCCTCACTTTATGTATTTTTAAATTGTATTTCTACTATAGAAGTTTAAGTCACTATGTTAACATCAAGCATGCAAAAGCACTAAGTTCTTTTGCGTTCAACATTAAGATCAGCCTTTAAATCACATCAAAATAATTTATACTTTAAGAAATACAGCATAGGGGCCGGCCCAGTGGCGCACTGGATGGTGCGCCGCTTGAGAGGCGCGGCGGCGCTCCCGTCCGAGGGTTCGGATCCCACATACAGACCGGCTCCCGCTCACTGGCTGAGCGAGGCACAGGAGCAACACCGAGGCTTGCGATCCCGTTGCCGGTCCCCGGTCTGGTACGGGGGCAACACTGAGGGTTGCGATCCGTTGCCGGACACGGAAAAAAAGACAAAAAAAAAAAAAAAGAAATACAGCATAAGTGGGGAACAGAAGTATTTTTCTGTCAAGTAAATAAATATATACAACAGCTATTACAGAACAGTAGCCACAAAATAAGTTCCAGAAATATCTAAAATCTTAAGTAGAAATTTTAAATGACTAGATTTCTTTTTTCTTTCTAACCGATAAGCCTGTAAAGTAGAATCAAACGATGCTGTTAAATAATGACTTGCTCAACAGCCCCCAAGAACTTCTGTAAGCATACCTGTTGGTATCTGGACACTGGGTACATCAGCTTCACATCAAGTTTGGGATTGTACTGAGCAAGAGATTCATGATGATAGTGGTTAATGAGCTCCACCACAGAATTAAATGTCAGAGGATCAGAAAAGCCATATTTACCATCCCGATGATAAATCTTTATTAACTTATTATTGCCTCCCTTCCTGTGAATAAGAAGACAACAACTGTAGATTTTTCTCCCCAAAATTCTATTGAAGTACTACTTTCATATGAAGATATGAGAGGTTAGTATCACATAATTAACAAGTTTTACTATGTTAATGAGTGAAAAGGCATATGTAATTATGTGTGTGAAAGTGTAAATAATATCATATTGTCAAATCTGTTTCTTTTGTCCATAAAATACCTTGGTTATTGAAGGCCAACATACCTACATTGCATTAAGTATCAACAAATTTAGCAAAAAAATCACTTAAGAAGAATCTAAAACAGAAGTAAATTATATCTTTTGTTTATTTTCTGAATTAATTTTCTGATTTAAATTCTATCAATATTTTTTCATGGAGAACAGAGACAATCTCTTTGGGACCTAAAGATATGTAATCATTTGTCTTTGGTGAGGGGGAAGCAGAAGCCACTTCTATATGAAGAGGATGATAAATATTTGTCACACAAACACCGACATACTCAAGATTTTATTGTCACTGCACAAACATAATTAAGCTCCTTGAATGATTTACAGTTGGGTAATTAATCTAGCACCTTATATTATTTTGTCATTTATACTTGCTTATAATTCTTGGAAATGACTATTTATTTAGGCCATCAAAACATGTAAATGATCAAGTCATTCAACTGTTTTACAAAGGATAGCTTTTGAAGAACCATGTATATTAGATAGGTGTAATTTGATGCTTGAATAGTTCAGACCACCTTTGTTTACTGAGTCATATCCAAATGGTCCCTTAAAAGACAATTTATAACCCAAGTTTAAAATAGCAATGTTTTGCAAGTCCCATAAGGCATAATCTAAAACCATAGTAGGTTGATTCATTACATCATAGCAAAATACTGTACCATTCCCAGACTTAGTGGAAAAAAATATGCCTCCATATCTCTTTATGCTATGCTATTATTACACATGATAAATGAGGCATTGGGATTTGTGAAAGGTCAAACACAATAGGTTTGAACCTACAGAATGATTTAAATTAAACAATGCTTAGAAGATCAGTATTTAGATGGATGATGAACTACTCCTATAAAATGTACATTAGAAAGGCCACCTAATCATATGTACTTACTATAGGTGTGTACTCCCATACATATACTCACAATAAGTGCAAGCTCAGTCTCTGCTAAAGTGAAAAGGCACTCATTCATTGAAAAAAAAAAAATGTGTTGAAAATCTACTATGTGCCTGGAATTAAACTGCAGATACAATTGTAAACAAGCCAGATACAGTCCATGCTCTCATGAAGCTTCTATTTTAATAGCATGAGGAACATATCTCCATCTTTCAGTTTATTAAAGAAGATAAAAAATTCCTCAAGACAGAACATAAAAATAACAATTAGATATATCAAATGGTAATAAGTCTTATGGAAAAAAATAAAGCAGAGTAAAGGGAAGAAATACTTCTGGCAGTAGAGGAATTGCCATTTTATACATGTTGCTCAAGAAAAACCTCTCTGTTCTGGTGACATTTGAGCAGAGTCCTAAATGAAGTGAGGGAGCTAACACAGCAGATATCTGAGGGAAAGGTTTTCTAGGTAGAGTGAATAGCAAGTACAAAGCCCCTGGGGTAGGAGCCTGCTTGGCATGTTTAAGGAACAGCAAGGAGGCCAGTGATGCTGGGGCTGAATAAGCAAACAGGAGAGAAGTACAAAATGTAGTGAGAGATGTAAAAGCAGCTTACCCTGTAACAACAGCCCACTGGCTATTGTAAAGACATTGGCTTTTACTGAGTGAGATGGGGAGACAAAAGAGGGTCTTGAGCAGAATGATGTAATCTATCTTGTGGTTTAAAAGACTCACACTAGCTGCTCAGTTGTGAAAATAAATATTGTTCGAAGTGGCCAGGGGTAGAAGTGGAGAGAAGAGTTGGGAGACTACCATAATAATCTAGGTAAGAGATGATGGTGTCTTGGACGAGGGAAGCAGCAGCGGAGATAATGAGAAATGGTGAGATTCTTAATATATTTTGAAGAGAGAGCTAACAGGATTTGCTGAAGGCTTGGATATGGGTATTTAGAGAAAGAGAAAAGATAAAGATGACTTCAAGGTTTTTATCTTAATCAATCAGAAGAATGGAATTGTGCATTTATTGATATGACAAAGGCAATATAAAAGGAAAAAAAGTTTGGTTTTAGACATGTTAAGTTTGAGATGCCTACTGAACATTCAAAAGCATATAATTTAGCAGCTTACTTAAAGAGTCTAAAGTTCAGGAGAAAGGTCTGGGCTAGGGATATAAATTCAAGAGTTGTCAGCCCATAGATGTTATCTGAAGATGAGCATAGTTGGACAAGAGAAGAGATCCAAGTTCTAAGTCCTGAGGTATGCAGATGTTTAGTAGTCAGGGATATGAGGAAGGACCAGCAAAGGAAACTGAGAGGGAGCAATTAATGAAGTAAGAGGGGAACTCAAAGTGTGATATCCTAAAAACCAATTTTTCTTTTTCTTTTTTTTTTTTGGCAGCAGAATGGTACGGGGATCCAAACCCTTGACCTTGGTGTTATAACACCACGCTCTAACCAACTGAGCTAACCAAGCAGCCTGAAATGCTTTCAAAAATTGGTTTGACTGGCCAGTTAGCTCAATTGGTTAGAGCGCGGTGTTATATCACCAACATCAAGGATTTGGATCACCGTACGAGCAAGCCACCAAAAAAATAAAATAAAAAGCATTTCAACAAAGGAAATTATCAACAGGGTTTGGCAAAGTAGAGATCACTGGTGACCCTGACTAAATGGTTTCAGTGTAAGCCACACTGGAGTGGATTCAAGAAAATGAAAGAAGAGAGAGAAGAAATGCCCATAGACAACTGTTTCCACAAATAGTTGTAAACGAGAGCAGAGAAACAGTGAAGTAGCTAGAAAGAAATATATAGGGTCAAAGGAATTTTCTTTATTATTTTAAATGAGAGATAATACAGCATATTTATATGCTGATGGGAATGGCTCAGTAGAGAGACAAAAATTGTTGATCCAAAAAAGAGGACAAGATAATTCCTAGAGTGATGTCCTTGAGTGGATTAGAGGGATGGGATGGGATCCAGTCCATAAATAGAGATGTAGACCCCGGACAAGGACATGATCCACTGAAACAGGAAAAGGGCAGAGCATTCACATTAATGTGCAAACATGTTGATAGCTGTGGCAATAGGAGCATAAGGGAGTTCTCTTCTGACTGTGAACAAATTCCGATGAAACAGGAAGCAAGTTCTTTAGGTAAAAGGGGGAAGAACAGTTGTCAATTTGAAGAGAAAAAAGAACATGAAATTGTCATCTAGGAAAGTGGAAAGGCAAACGGATTGTGGAAATACAGAAGTTAAGTTGAGCAGTACTACAGGCCCACTTAAAGTTGGTAGTCATGAATTTAATGTGAGAACAGTCAGTGTGACAGTGTCTTTCTCCACATTCAGCTGTCCAGGTATAAGCAAAGCATAGATGGTGAGCTGAATTTAACAAATGTTGGAATTTAGTTAGGTGACTACAATGGAGGGAGAGCAGAGCAAGTTTGCTGAGGATATATAGGGTAATTTTAATAATGGACCATGGACTTTAATCATAGAAAGAGAGAAGTGAAGACATGAAGGAACTGAGGATTGGTGAATTTTTAATTACATCTCTCTCTCTCACTGTAATCTTCTCGAACAGTTAGAATTATAACATTCGTCCTTATATTCCAGCACCTGGCCCAATGCCCAGAAGATAGCAGATTCTTAAAGATCTGCTAAGCATCCAGATTTTCTACAATGAATACTATTTACCTATTTAAAAAATAATGTTTATTGAACTGAAAAACCTCTACTTCTTTACTGCCTACTCTCTGCAGTCTGGTTTCACTCTTTCTTCTCATTTGAGGGTCACCAATGACTTTTACCAAATTTAGACTCTCCCCTTTCCTTCTATCCCAGCCCTTCCTCCTCCCTCCCCCACCTTCCTTCTTAATATTTCATCCTCCTGTGACTTTGACAACATTACTCTTCTCTTTCAACCTCAAACTATTCTTCTTCTGTCTCCTTCATGATTCCAAACACAGTTATTCCCTAAAAAATTTTGCCTTCAGCCTCTACCTTTTTTCCCCCCTCTATATACTCTTTCTTTAAAATCCCATTTACTCTATGCATATGGTACCTGACTCTTTTTGTAGCCCTATACTTCCTCATAAGCATTAAGCCTACATTTCTAGCTATATTCTAGATACATTTTTACCTGGCAGATCTGGAGCAGCTAAAAATCAACATCTATCCCTTCTTCCTCAATAAAACAATTGCTCCTGACTTTCCTATTTCTATAAATAGCACATTCATTCTAAGCCTAGAAGGCTCAAACCAGCCATCTTCAACTTCCCCCCAACCTCAAATGTATTCTATTGCCAAATCCCTTGTGGTCTTAACTCCACACTGCCTTTTAACTCCTCAACTCCTTTCCTAGAGCCACTAACCTAGGTAATTGATAATAATAATAATAATAAATAATAATCATTTGATCATGTCATTCCCTATTTAAAACTCTTCATCAACTTTTTTTTTTTTTTTTTGCACTTAGAAATAAGATTCAAATTCTTTACCATGGCCCATTAAGTTCTCTGTATCTTGCTCCTTCTCCCTTTCAGTTTCATATCCTACTACTCTCTGGTTCACACTGTAAGCTTGTCACAATGGTCTCTTTATTCATCACATCCACCAAATCTTGCCCAAATCAGTCTTTGCATTTTCTGTTCCCTTTCCTGGAACACTTTCCTGGCTGGCTCTTTTAATTCTTCAGTTCTCAGAGATCCTCTCCTCAGAGAGGCCCTTCTCAAAACTATCTTAAATTCCATTTCCCTAAGTTCTCTATAATATAATCCTATGTATCTTTACATAACACTTCATATACTGTGAAGTTATCTCATTTCTTTTTTGTGTTTATTTTGTCTTTCTCTCCTCAATCCTCCCTACCCCCACAAGAATATAAACACTAGAGAAGAGAGACCA